AATCTGTCTACAAAATCTGAAAAGATATTCTCCTAGCCTACATTATGCTAGCAAATTTTGCTATTTTGGTGTATGTCTGTATCCACCTGTATTTGGGGGGTGTCTTAAAAGTTGAGTTTATTTCTACCACAAAACAGAGTTTACAGTAAACTAAGATAAATAACACTGCATTTCTATGTGGGATATATGTGGAAGAATTTTTGGGACCATCTCTTAGTATAGTATAGTTTTTTCAAGGGACTGTAAGGAAATCATAAGCTGCCCTCTATCACTGTTGTTGATTGCAGGTCTATGCCAGATTCAGTGTCAGATGTATCACTGCCTGTTTGGAAGTTTTGTCACAAAACTGACTATTAAAAATTACTATATAAAATGGATAAAATTGACTGTGCTTGCACTTTGCTGTACACAGACTGTTTCAAAATTCTCAGCTCCTGAGATAAAATCCAAATTGTAATTTTCAGCATTGTCTATTGCTATTATTCTCCAGTTTTGGCAAATCTTTTGTAGACCCAGTCTTGTACTCTGGTTTAGTACCTATCGGAATTTGAGGCACCAGGAGCTACACAGGGTCAGGCCAGGAAGAACCATCACTTGACAGTTCAGGGGGTTCCTGGCTTATAAAACAAGCAGAAGTTAAGGTCCACACCAACTGAGGGCCAGCTGGGACTTTTATCTGAGGTCTCAGCAAATGCATTTTTCTGATACTACAACTAAAATTCCTATGAAACCAATTTGTCCACTCTTTTTATCAATCTACTTTCCTTACCCATTGAGAAGTGTTGTTTGAGCTGTAGTGGTGTCCATTGCCAAGAGCATTAGAGATGTCCTGTCCTCATAGGCATCCTCTCTCCTGTAGAACCACTGATGCTTCCAGCAGTAGTTTTCAGGCAGTTTTCCAGACAGTAGTATGTACCACTTTTAAAATTCTACTTAAGGATCACATTAGGAAGGTATCCAAAGGGAAACTGGAATAAACTACTTATTTTCACTTGTAAAGGAGCCTGTAGGGTATTTATCTACATCACAAGAGCTCAATTATCAGGGCCAAGGCAATGGCGGTAGAGCCTCTGGGACAGCAGATTTAAGAAGGAGGGAAAAGTGTTGTGCAACAGCTGCTGGAAGAGAGGAATAAGCATGTGTGAAAGAAACAACTCTTGTTATCATCAGCGAAAAAAAATGGTCCAAAGAAAAGTAAGTTTGCCATAAAACAACTGCAGATCACAAAACTATGTAAAATACATGCAAAACCTCTTAATTTCAAAAGGCGAGGGAATATGTAATTGAGGAAAATTAAATTAGTAAAATAATTACAGGTTTTCAATAACTGATTGCTCAGTATATAAAGAAACTATATTTTGGCCAGCTTGTTGTGAGAAACCAGAATAAGAAAACATGATATGCAATTATGCAATACCTTTTGGTTTGTTTTGTTTTTGTTTTACTTTGTATTTTAAAATACAACATTTCCATTAAATGCTTCCACAGAAATTTAGCTGTATGGGACTTCCCAGCAACAATGACTTTTGTTTCATTAAATACTGTCATGGCTCAATCTCTTTGCTTGTTTATCTGCATCCCATTTCACTGCCGCCAGGGGTGTCTCTTATTTAAGGTAATAAAGAATTTACCTGGAACCCAGATAAAGCACACATGGATAGACCCCACTCTGTGGGTGGACATGGTGCCTACACTGCAAGTAATAAGCATCTAAAGCAGATTGCTGATTCTCCTTTTTACTAAATGGAGATTTAAACTAAACATTTAGAGCAGTTCACTGCAATTTGATCAAACCCTGTTTGCTTACTTTGGGCTGAGATGAAGGATGCTACAAATCCCCTTGACTACAAAGCAGGTTCATTTAGATGGAGGCATATGTTCTGCCCACAGCTCAATCAGATGAATCTTGTTCACACTCCCTAAGACACTATAGGCACAACAGCCTCTCCTAATTAAGGGCACCTCTGGAAACACTGTCAGTAATGGCCAATGTAAGACCCATTCCCATTGTAACACCATAATACATTGCCAGATTTTTGGGTCCTTAATGGCATACAAATCTTTGCCCTAAATAAGTATTTTGAATACAAACTTTTGAAGAAAATTACTTATTCTCATAATGAAACTATCATCTTAGTTTTAAACAAATATTACAGCAGAAGAAAGAAAACAAAATAAAAATTCCAATTTTTTATTTTATCTCCTAAAGGCAAGAAGAAAATTGGGCAATGTAATTCCACATCACACATCTACATTTCACAAAACTAAAAAATATCAATTACATAAAACAGGCCTTTACATAAGTTTGGCAATGTTAGGTAAATGAATACAGATGCTATGCATTGCTTGGAAAAATAATTTATTATGTCAGCTTACAAAAATGACAAGTTTTTATGTTATACTTTAAATTACAAGTACAGCTAGCAACTTTGATCCTGCAAAGGTACCAACTATCTCCTGAGATGCAATGAAGACTTGCAACCCTGCCTTCAGGAATTGCTTGGAGCAAGTCCCAAGTCAGCAAAAGTGCAATGTAGTTTGATATTTTTGTTACTGCCTCATTGGCTAACATTTTACAGTCTAATTGCAGAAAGTAGGTACAAATGTTGACATTAAATTAACATATGAACTTTCCTAGCACAGCCTTAACCAAACTTAAACATACCTGCAGACTGTTCCAAACTTTCAGCTTGCAGCAACATACTCAGAGCACAAAAGACAGCTTTCATATACCTCATACTGCAATCACTTGACAAGATCTCAGCACTTGGTACTTTGATTGGTACTTAGGCTTTATGCATGAGATTTCATTCTGGCTTCATATTGGTATAAATCAGGCACAGGCGTTCTGAAGTCAGAGCAGCAACTCAACAATAAAATTGGTGTTCTGGTGTGACATGAGTCACAGCTTGCGTGTAACCAAGTAACTCAAATTTCACAGGTTGGTAAGGACTTGTGCATCAAACCAACATGGGAACAGTTCTTCCTTTTATACTTCTACAATGCGTTGTTCCTAAACCTGCATGAGGTGTTCTGAAAATCCAACCTGTAGACTTACTTTAATGTGCGTGCATGCAATTTACAGGAAGGAACAGTCAAACAGTAGTTTGGCTGAACTTGATCTAAAGGGTCTTTTCCAACCTAAATGATTCTATGATTCTAGTTTTTTTTTTTAATTAATTACATATTACTCAAGATAGTAAAGTTGAACTTTTCCCCTTCTTGAAGATGGCAGATAATGGAAAAAGTGGACTGCAAATACCTTGTGAAGCTATCCCGGAACTAAAATATCATAGGACAAAAAAGTCAAAACTGGTTTTATTTTGTGAGTCTTGTTAAAAAACAATACCAAAAGTACTGGAATTTAGATGTAAGATATAATTACCTTCTCCCTACACACATAAAAATCCCCATTTTGGTACTCACTGAATTACTAGATCAGTTGAAAAACTGACGTGAAACAAAACATTTAGTCACGAGTGTGAAATGCATTTGATACATATTAACAGATGAACCATCTCTCCTTGGAGATGGCTTCATTACTTTGAAAAAACTGTAGTAGACCACATAAAAGTGGAACAAAGAGCTGCAACATTTCAGAATTTTTCAAATTTCATAAGCTTAGATTGATGTTATTCAGAAGTACTATGGTTTTCATTATATAACTAACATTGATTTAGTCTTCTTGAAAAAAATACAGGAGTCCAAATGAACTCAAAATCTCATTTCTTAGGTTCTGAAAAATATTAAAATATAAAAATGAGATAGTATCAAATTATTCCAAGTGTTTTGGAGTTTGCTACCATATGATTTGTATAAGATGACGTATTTTTTAGCAAGCATTTGTTATTCATCAGACCAACACATATGGTAGACTTGCAGACCTTCAGAATGCAATGGAAAAAGAGACAAAGAAAATATTTCTCTCCCCTTTTCTAAAACTCAGCACAAAATTGTCACTTCACTGATACTACAGACAAGACCTCTGCTAGCTTTACTGCAGTCAGGATTTCCAAGCATAAAAGGCAATCTTTCTTTTTAAGCAGTAAAATTTTACACTGTATGAACATGATCATATATGTCAATGTCTATAGGAAAGAACATAATTATGTGGACAGGCTATACCTGATGCCTACACAGTTATTAGAAGTCTGAACACACCTTTACATTTCAGAAATCAAGTCTTAAGCAAACTGCAAGAGTTCTGGTTACTGCACTAAGGTGAACCTCAACAAGCACGAAGAGCTGGATTCCTTGCTAAACATTCGAGGACTTTATCTCAACAAATAATTCAATGTTGAGGAATTTCATTACACTATACCTATTTCTATCACAATAAGGTTTAGAAATATTAAACAGACCTTTCTGACTTCAAACCAAGCATAGAAACATTTCACATCCATATTATTTGTTGAAATTCGGCAGATTCTTTGTTGTTACTTTATACTGCAGTGACAATAGTTGACTGGGAAATATGATGTAATATATTCAGTGTCACATGTATGAATTGCCTGGGCAATCTCAGTTTTGGAATGTCCCAACCAAAATGCTAGTTCACAAGAATAATTTTGCCCCAGTTTTAGGACACTAACTGCAAAAAACCACTGTATTTCATTCAAATGAAATGAAAACAAAATATTTGGAGAAAAGTGACTCATGTATCAACTAACTTAATTAGGAGTGCTTGTAATGAAGTATCAGAATTAGAAGGTTGTTTTTTTTTTAGCTAACCCCAAATTAAACGGAAACTGGCAGCATGCAATGGCGAAACACGTTCCAGAATCAAAACCAAATAACATATTTCTTCTCATAGGCCCCAAGGGAAAAAAAATAGAATATCAGCATTTTCTAATAAGCACATATAGAAACGTCAGCCTTAAAAGTGATACACCTTCAAAACCTCAGTAATACACTGTTATTGTATTGACACCCTCACCTACAATTCAAGTAGTTTTCTATTTGTTGCTTTCTTCAGGTAATGTAATACCACAGCAGAAAAGTGAGCAATTGAGCTATTTGTTAAAGTACACTGCAAGAGCCAGTATTCCTTCTGAAGCACATCAGCTGCCTCCAGTGGAATTATTTCAACTTTGCTACCCAGTGCACAGCATACATAACAGATTTAACCTAAGTATGGAATATAGTTTAGTCTAAATCAAAATGAGCAAGTCTCACACATTAAAAGATGATATGAAGTGGGTTGATGTCTGTTGATTAACATATTCAGGAGCTTCATTTTAGTCTGTCACTCTACTGAAATTTAAACAATTATTCATATTCTGGAAAAAATGAAGTGTTTCTTGACTTTGATACTTCATTTTTTTCACATTTGCTGAGTTTTTTTACTATTATATACGAATAATTTGTCTCACTTTTAAAAACTTTTTAGATTAGTTTTTTTTGTTAATTTATAGACCTCTAACTGATCCATGGACAACATACTAATGGATTCACATTCCATGGCTAGCAAGCCTCCCTGCTGATGTAGCTCACACTGAACAAAGGTTTCTGCATCTTCCAGCTTTATGACTGCACTGGAGACTGCTCCAGTGAAGACAAAACAAATAGTTCCAAGGTTTCTGATGGACTTGTTGACATTCTGTTAGTCCAAACATGTAACAAAAGTTCTGCCAGCTCCATGATGTCTTCATGGTTGCAGCTGTTTGAGTGAAAGGGTGCTGTCAGTGCTGCACCCGGCAGTGAAAGCCTCAATAAAAATGGTGCACACGTTGAGCTCCCTACACCAAACAGCCAGAGATGCAAACTGTTCCCTTGGCCACCAGCAAAACACAGCTCATCTTCATCATTTTCCACACTAAGTACACTACTGTATCCCTGGTGGTTTCTGTGAAGAGCCTCATGCCAGAAACATAAATTGGGATGTTTCCCAGTTCCATGCTTATTTAATTGTGAGTGACACAGAAATCCTTTTGATCATCTTTAGCAAATTTCAGTATCACTTTTCAAAAATATTTTCGGTGTCAGCAACTGTTTGTAAGGAAGATGATTTGATATTAACACACTGAAGAAACACACTTTTTAACATGAGTATTTTAAGTTCCAGACTAAGCACTTAGACAGATGTCCTAAATTTGTTATAGTCTAATGTTTTGCCTCAAATCAATAATATTTCAGGGTTATTGCAGCAAAGTCTATCCTTTACCATTTTCTTCTACAAACTGATGGTAGAATCAATGCTGGCAAAATGAAAAAATTTAGACAAATGTAGTAAGAGACATTTACTTTGGCCTGTGGAATAATCTTTAAAATTAGACAGTATGTGACATGATGTTAGTCCATTTACTATGTAGCTTTTATTTTATGAAACAAATAAGAGGCTCAGAGTTCATATGAAAAGAGCTTAGAAGAAACAACTGCCATCAACACTAATGTAATTCTACGGGAACATAAACTACCAAAATTATTGACAGTGGGTAGGTGAGGAAATGATGGTATGTCTTCTGACACACTAGTGCACTGTAGATGGCAGATGAGAAAAGCAGTCTAACATCAAAACAATTCTGGTCTGAAGAGAGATGAAAATAACAGAGTACTCAAGAACCGTTGTACTTACTCGCACAAAACACCTATCAAGGAGCCATGTCCCTAAAAACAGACAGTAAAATTATCCTAAAAGAGACATCTCCTTGGAGTTCATGTTTTTAAATGTAATAATTTAACAAAAACATGTTAACAACCACATTACAAAAATATTTAGTTCCAAATAGCACCCAATAGATTCCCAAAAAAAAAGACTAGAAATTTAAAAATATCATCACTGCATATTCTCACACTACAGATTTTGTCATTATAAGGGGAAAAGAAAAAAATCTCATTATTTCTGACAGAAAAATGACAGAAGTACAACTTCAGCTTTAGAAGCAGGAGAGCTATTGTTGTTAGCACAAATGATAACAGTTGGATGTTGCTGGATTTTAACCACAGCAATGTCCTTCATTTTTGCTGTCAACATTCCCAGAAGCATTGCAGATTTTTGAATGACTTGGTTCTTGGATTCTGCCATGTTGTACTCTTGTACAGAGCACTAAAATATTGTTCAGATTTAAAATCTAATTTAGTTATTTACATAGAAAAGCAATTAAGTTCATATTCACAGCAGCCCAGACATGCTTACAGTAAAGAGTTGAGACGTGCTAGAGTAGAAAGTACTTAAGCATGAAAAAAAAATTATCCAATAAGGAATTTGATTTAGGGATCACTTTTATTCAGATGTAAATATTAGCTATAAGGCAGTTTTTAAGCTAGGCAACAAGAATAAAAATGTGCTGAAATTTTAATTTAATCATGAATTGCTTTTCATCCCTTCTACTGTTAGTTTTCCTCTACAACTGCTTCTAAATTCTACAATTACATCAAAATCACAGGACTTGGTGTGATGTCCTCCTGCACATCCATTTTTGACAAGGCTGTGCTGTCAGCTATTGACCTGCAGCTCACACTAACTTCAGCATCCATTACTTCTGTGGGGTGACAAGGGCTTAGAGGGAGATAAATTCGTTACTAACACACTGCAGACACAAGGAGTTTAACACAGATACTGTAAAATTCAACTGTAACAAGCAGTGCCACAAAAATTTATGAAAAAATTTTTCTCCATGTTATAGATATGAGAATGCATCCAGGTTGCAGACTTCTCATTTTTAGCCATAAACATTATAATGAGTGTAACAAAAATACCTACTGATTTCCTTTCAGAGTAATACTGGCATTTTCATTCATGAAAAACCATTCAGTACTACCCAGTGCAGAGACTATGCCTTGCAAGCCAGAGATTAACTGATATGTAGATTCCTTAGCTCAGAAATGGATTTTAGAATAGTAGTTTCTTTGTTGTATGGGTTTTTCATATATATATTTTTTTTACTTTGCTGTAATAGTTAGTAAAAATGTGGCTGAGCTTTGAATATCCAAGGAGTACATTCACCATCACTGATGACAGTTTTCATCAAACATTTGAGAAGCAAATGTAAGAAAATTGCTTTGTTTTGCACTGTAAAACTTTATTTTTAATTTTTTTTTGACATTTCTTCTTAGGATGACATAATTATGCAATAAAAATAAATTATTTGGCTATTTAGTAAATATAATCTGGAAAGTAATTAAATACTCTCAAGTCTGCTGTAAAACATTAGGAACTGAAGGGCATAAAATTTATAGCTTATTCATGTGACAGCTATTTGATGCTAAAATAGAGGGCCAATGCATTTTTAAAAGCACAATACTGAAGCACTGTATTTCAGTAGAGGATTAAAAAAAAATCCTGATACTAGCTTATAAAATCTGTATGTACTTAGTACATACATTAAAAATTGCCTGATTTACCAAATGCTAAACAGAAAAAAGATTTAAAGCATCATTTCTTGTGTGTGCGATACCACATTTTTGATTATTGAAAACCACTGCTTTGGATAAGAACTGCGTAACAGGTCATTAAAGGGTTAAATTATAAAAAAATCTGGCTACCAGAAGGAACAGCAATTTTTAAGATGTGAAATATACAAAAGGTTTTATTTAAAAATTATCTGCTTTTCTACTTTAAAAACTGAAACTGTGCAGAAGAGTATTATTTCAGACCAATATGGAAAAAATATTATTTCTTAAACCACAAAGGGACAGTTTCATATGATGTCATGAACGGAACCTTAGCCTTCAGTAAAGAGGAAACAAAATTCACTTTGTAATATGAACCTCTATCAAAGGTGGAAGTGAGACAAATATTACACGCTATCTAGACTGCCATGCCAAAAGGGTAAATTTAAGAAAGAATTTCCTGGCTTTGGAGTCCATAAGTCTACTCAGTAAGATTTTTTTGTGTGTGTGTGTGTGGTTTGACATCTCTTCTGTACTTCCACCCCTTTTAGAAAATTTTATAAAAGGATATAAAACTGATGAAAATCCAGTCACATGGGCAAAGGCAAATATACTAAGCACTGAACATACTTAAAGTTTTAAAGCCAAAATTGTTCACCCAGTAGTAACTTCTGTCCTGTATAGTACAAAAGTCGATTGAATACTTGATGTAATAGTGAGGGAGATCAGACTGCTTATACTTAGCTTTCTAACAATATAAAGCAGTAGTGATCCTGTTTTAAGAATACATACTTCAGATTTCTAAATTACAAGTCAGGAAAAAATGTATAAACACATAGAATGGTATGATTTTTACAAATTCCTTAGGAAAAAGAGAGGACATGATATTTCTGGTATTACTTCTCAGCCAAGACTCTCAAAGGCTCATTTATTTACTTCCATGTCACAAAAAACATTTAAACTTTGGTAAAACAGTTATCCATCAGCAATCCATGCACCAGACCTCACTCCCACATAAGGTGTTTTAAGAACATGATTTCCTGCTTAATAATATATTTTAAAGTGACCTTTCTATGTTTTAGCCTTAATTTGTACCATAAAGTCTGCAAGCTGGTGACATTTAGTTTTGCAATTTTTTAAGTTTCAGCAGACCAAACCAGTTAAAATATTTTAAATGACATATTTCCACCTCTGCTCTGATCTAATAAAAACAATAAATTACAAATCTTGGATCCACTTAAAGTAAGTTTAGTTTATAGTAGCTGTGGCTCGATCTAACACTGTTTCATGACATCCACACTCTTTGTAGAGAGCAGTTTATTTGTTGATTTTTTTTGTAGTTCCTGTCATTGCCATTGAGATCAGAACAGATGGATGTGCCTGTTTTGTTTTCTTGACCCTCTGAATGAGGAGATGTGCCAGAAATTTGCAAAAAGCCAATGCCAGTGCTACTATGCACAGCATAATGCACAACAAAAGGCAAAGAAAACTTTTTAACCATGTCAGATTTTTTTAACATTTTAAGCAATTTAAGTTCATGGAATATGAACAGAGAATAAACTCAATCTTTGTCTCATTTCTGTGTCTGATTCTGATGTTCTCAGTATATTGTTCTGTTTGAAACAGGTTGAAGACAAGGTGATTGTCAAGGAAGTGCACTGTCCAGAGCACCCATTGGGACTACAGAACACTTCATCAGAGTATTGGAAAAAAAAAAAAAAAAAAAAAAGAAGTCCTCTTTTGAGATGGCACATCATGGCCTGTGAATTATACCTGAGACACCTACAGTGCGAAAAAATAACAGTGTTTCAGAGAAGAAATAGGCTTCCTAAATATGACAGAAGCCTGCAAAACAAAATTGTTTGAATGGTGTTAATGTTGCTACAGTACTCTGATAGCTTTGGCAAATCTTTTAAGGCACAGTAGCACTGATCAAGCCAGAAGTAGCTGAGAGGAGAATAAAACAAGAACCATCAGAAACACTTGCATTTCTTTAGACAGCAGAATTCCTAGAAAATTCTTCTTTGATTTGCTCTTTGAGACCCCTGTAATGCAAAATTGTGTCCAATTTCTTTAGAATAGTGATATCTGAACAAATACAAATGTGCAATATTGTATTTCCATAGTATTTTACAATCAATATAAAACATCTTCTCTAATAGAGAACAAAACAGAATAAATAAATGAACATTAAACATTGCTTTTAAAATTTTCACAGCCACACAGAAGTGCCTTTCAACACTCTTGATACAGATGGGAGAGATTCAAATTCTTAAAAGTACTTGATTGAGGCCATCTTATAAAACTGTTCTGGCCAGAAGAATAATTCTAGCAACTTATAACATATATATGCTGAGCCTCAAGCCAATTTTTACTTGCTTTGAGAAAATTTTGTTTTATTACTTCTTTCTTAAATGATTTTTTTCAAACGGAGGGACCTAAAATCACAAATGTGCCTGTACAACACTGTATAATTACTCTCTCTCATAGTAATAGGCAATTTCTGAATTTTTCATTATTAATAATGAAAAAAAATTCCATTATTATTTTTTCATTATTAATAATGTTACTAAACATAATTAAAAAACAAGTGTCAGAACAATTCCTGTATAGGGGTAAATAAGCTCATAGCAAAGATTAATGTCACAGGTATTCACAGTATTTCAGGAATACAATAAATTTAGTCTAAGAGGACTGTAAAAACAAATTACAAGAGAATAGCAAAATCTCAGAAAGCCTTTGGTGTGCAAGTCACCTAAATTATCAAAAGAGTTCATCAGAATCACTCTTGGTGCTCTTTCATTTGAGTGTTTGGCAATTGTTGAATCATTAAGGGCGCACCACTCCTGCAGCAGATGGAACTACTGCTGTTCAAAACCAAAAAAAAAAAGTGGAATGGAATTTACCACAGAGAAAACTGGTGTGGTTTCATACAATATTCTACTGTTTTCCTCCGTCTGCTTGCAGCTTCATTTCACTAACAGCAACATTAGTAGAATCTTCCTTGGTGCCACTTGTATCCAAAGGAACCATTCCTTTCCTAAGTGCTAGAAATAAGTCACACAAAAAAGATGATTAAGCATCTTCAGAATCATACATTAAGTAAGTTAGACTCAATGATCTTAGAGGTCTTTTCAAACCTATGATTCTTGGATTTGGTTGACTGGCCATTAGTTTTTATTTAAAACATGTATTTCATTATATGATATTATAATTTATTCAGCAAGTAATAAATATTCATAACTGAGAAGAGAATATTTTCTCTGTTTTCTAGAGAAATAGATTTTAATACTCTATAATACAGGCACAGCCATGAGCTTCCTTATACATAAGAAATGTAGACTGTTTAAAAATATTTGATTCTTTCACTAAGATATATTTTCCATTTATTTTTCCAGAACTTTTGTTTAAATGAGGTAAGACAAACCTCTCAAAAATTTGTGAAGGAATATCTTTACCAACAGAATGGACTTAAGTCACCAAGTGACACTGAAGCGGTGCTCATACAATGTCATACTGTGTATATACCTTCACAGCAGGGTACATATATAGTGAATCTTTCTAAATATATTATATTGCATCAAAATGCAAACAATATGAATTGACAAAACATCTTATCATAAAATGCTGAAGAAAAAAAGTCAAATATCCAAACATTTAATAAAAGGTAGAAATTAAGGGAAGAAAGTGCCTAGCAGCTTATACAACATACCCTTCTTCTAATGGCCTTCTTTATAGCACAGGCATGTAAGAAAAGTTGTCCTACTGAATATCCAGAGTGCAGTTTTTAACAATCCAGTAAAATTGTAGCAGTACATAACCAAAAGTTATTTAACAAGGAGCAAGACTTCACAGTTTGGTTAGGAGGGGTGAGATGTTTTCACTTTCAGAAGAATGAAATCACTGTGTTTGGAACATTGGTATAACAGTGAGTTCTAAGTATTCAGCATCAAGTTTTCAGAATTGGTTCAAAGCTCTGCTCTGTACACTATGTCAGTGGTACCTCCTGTGGACAGTATTCAAAGTAAGGCAAAAAATCATAAAGAAAGTTCATTGCTTAACTTAAATTCAATTTGCATTTTTCTAAGTGATGATGTCAAGTTTCCAGTCATTCCAAGTTCTTATGTTTAAGCAGCCCTAGGTTTTATTCTAGAAGGGTGCCCACAGCATAGTGATGTTGCAATGTTTCTTTACTTGTAAGTACGTTACATTATTTATAAATGCCAATAAAAATAGTCTTAAGAACTTATGAAAAAGTGTACATAGAGGGATAAAGACAGGCACCAGCAATACAGTGCAAAAGTTAATTGTTCTGACAATAAAGCCTACATTCAGGACAACTCAGTTTTATTCAGTTGTGGTGTCAGTCCTACTTCCTACCATGTTGACACAAGAGTATTGTCCATCACAGCTTATGAAGCCCTGGAACATAAATTCCCAACAACAATAGAAAGCCTCTAAGACATATGGTTTCTGGGAAACCATCCAGGTTAAAACCTCAAAGTGATGAAATGTGCAAAGAGAAAAGCAGGACTCAATTCACAAAGCTAATGCGAAGCATGTGCAACTCTAGGGACTTTAGTACTCAAAATTTCAGGAAAATACAGTGGCCGTAAAAACAGTTTCTGAGGATTATTCTTTAGATAACAACTAGTAGTGACTGTCTGGACCAACCATTTTGGTCTGATAATAATATCGACTGCAAACCACATCTAGTGAATGTTTCCTTGAATAAATTATTTTCTCATTTCAACTTCTTAATTTCCAAGAAAATGGGTACAGAAATAAAAGCACGTTCCCTCAACATATTTTAAAATATATTTGCAATGGAAAAGCTTTTATAATTGCAGAAATTATACCAGAAACAAAACACAATGTTGATGTTAATTACTTTCCTTTTAGCTGCTTGCTGCATTGGCAAATTTTTAGTAAATATATATATACGGAAACAGATTGTTGTTTCCTTATTTATTTTTCCATATAATTTGTCCTTCTTTCGTCAACCAATTTTAAACTTAAATCCCACTATCTCCCTCACAAATAAGTTAAATTATATTAAATTACTCTGCTCTCCTTCCAGGTGCCCTCCACAAGTCATAGGAGACCCACATTGGGAAGGAAGCTTCTAGTACTAGTTATTGAATCTATAGTCTGTAAGGCTTCATGAGTTGAAGAGAGATGGAATGGGGAAATATAAATCACAAAGGCTTGTAAACTGCTCCAAAAGGCAAATGAAAGAAAAAAAATTCCATCCTTCTGTTTCTGAAGGAGGAAACAATTAATCACAGAAAATAGATGATGACATGTATAGGAAGATTTATTAAAAGCTACAGTAGGTTTGGGAGCAAAGATGTCAAATTATACTTCACTGTCAAAGTCTCAAATGATAATTAATTAATATCATTACTGAAATTTAAAGTTCATTATGTTTTTGTGACTATCATGATTGAAGTAGCTGACTTTTCATTTGCCACCCCCTGAAAAATCTCCTTAATGCTAATACCACAGCAGAATTTTCACTGCCCTCAAGAACTATACCAACAACTTCAAAATACACATTTGACTGGTGGAAATCAGTTTCAGCATAAAGTAACAATCAGTCAAAAACCAAAGTCTGTGGAATAATCCACATATTTCAGTGCCATAAGCATCAAGTAGTGAATTGACCACTGTCTATTTTTTTTATTTCCAGAAAATTTAGTACTTAGTGCTGGTAAAAAACAGTTGAATCAGAGAATAAATATGCACAACTGTTTCATCAGATTGGTATTCAGATCTCATGGATCCTATTTCTCTTAAAACTGCCTAAAATTTATTAAAAAGTTTTAAAGCAACAAAGTCTTAGCTTGTTTAATTCAGATTAAAACAGTATAAAGAAATTGTAATATTTTAGGAACTTTTAAGTGGTATTTTTAAATTTCAGTAAATTTTTGCAGTGACCACTTTTGGAATTCTTGAGACTGGAAGGGACTGCTGGAGGCCATTTATCTGAACATTCTGTGAGGCATCAGTTACTTCTTTTCTATACCCAAAACAGGTTCAGCTGTACTTTGATTTGTAAGACTTTGATAGGGAGGAGGTTTGGGAAAACAGAAAAACCAACTCTGAGACAAGGTAAAGTGTTCCTGAAGTACAGATGATACGGACATATTAGCTCCTATGCTTTATTCCCACTACTGTTATTCAGTGTGCTCTGCAAAAGATACTAACTCCAACCCATTCTGAAAGGAAGAGAAACCAATTACCTTTAACCTCATCAGATCAGCTCAGGACTTACTGGTGAGCAGTAATATACCACAGCACTCATTCTAAGATGCAATGCTTTCAAAGTGCAATGAAGCCTGAAACAGGCTTCAATAGAATGTAACTTTCTAAATACGTTCCCAGTACACAAACTGGCTATACTGAAAATAAATGGAAGATGATACCCTTCTGAAGAGAAGTGTTTTGATATCCATGTACTGACATGCTTAAAAACCTCCTTAAAAACCTGGTTTTTAAGTCACTTTTGACACTCATGCAAAGGTGTGCCTACGTTCCCAATCAAGACCCAATACGCCCTATGTTTTATTGAGCATTTTCCAACTGTATCAGAGATCCCATGACTTCACATGAACACAAGCTGTATATGCACAAGGGGATAGAGAAAAAACAGTAAAAAAAAACTATTGAAGTAGAATTAGTGAATTCAACTTTCACTGAGAAAATGCTACACAAGCATGAGACTAACTGGTACACATTAAAGATCTTGGAAAGAATCCATGTTTGAGGACAGCTCTCGAGTCCCTCAGAAGACCAGAGGGTCTACACAGCTTACAGAGGTATGACTCGTTAAGCAGAGATTCAGAATTCAAGGGCAGCCCATTTCTTTGGCATAGATAAACAAAATATATTGAATGTACCAGTCAAAAAACCCCAAACAACTGTCAGTGGGATGCAATGAAGTACTTCCTAGGCAACAACAAAAAAAACTAAAACACAGAAGGATACTTAAGATGGTTCCAGCACTTCTTTTTTGAAAAGTAGCGTCTCACTCATCCAGGAAAAAAAAATTTAGAAGAAAAATATATATTACCTGTAGATTTTTTTTCTGTGATATAATACTTACAACCTGAACTTGAAAGCGGTGAGCTGCACAAAAAGCTGTTTTGAGTTCGCCAACTAGAAGAGTGAGCAGCCACTTCTACATCAGAAATTTCAGCATCCATTTTCACATCCTATGGGAACCAAATAAAAATAATTTAGTCTGTTACTATCAAGCAGCTGAAAACTTTAACAAAAAGTAGTAGCACACGTACAGGCATATGCTGTGATTTCACACACAATGGAAAAGCCTGATTTGAATTCTCTGCATTCTCAGTATTGCACTTAGGTTCAAATTAATTTGCTTACAAGTTTTATCCCCACTTCACCACTATAAATGTCTGCACAAAACTGCTTTGCCTTGAGAAAAGCACTGGCAGCACTGCAAGTCTTTTCCACTACAGCACGTTGTAAAAATGCTCTTTCCTATTCACATCACATCCACAGTTCAGCACATACCATATCAGCAGGGCAGACATGAGTGAATAATGACTTCCTCATCAATGAATGGTTCATACTAATTCACTGAAGTTCCACAAGTAGTAATAAATAGAAATCTATTTTCTCTGCCACTGAGGAAACCTAAAGTTCATTGATTTCTCATATCATAATACCTATGGTGCTTTTGAAATTTTTTGTTAAACCATTAAATAAAGTTTTAAGTACAATGTTACTATTCATGGCTAAACCCATACAGCATAACTTCTTGGTGAGGAAAGTCATTTGGTCTATAAGCTAAAAAGCGAAGATAAATTTAAAAAGGTCATTTAGACAAAAATCCCTGAAAAATCTCTATTAGCTCTGCAGCAAGTAGTCCCCGGTTACAATACCATCCAAAATAAGATTAAAAGCTTGGCTTGGTATCCAAATTACTCAGTTTCTTGAAATGAGAAGATGTAATAATGAATAAATGCATCAATTCATAAAACACACATTTTTACTGCTGAATTCTTATCATAAAAAGCCTCAGGGAATTTTGTTAAAACATCTTGCAATTTATCATTTATGTTGATACTTAATTTTATGTTGATATATAAGATTTGAAAACTAAACAAAAAAAAAATGACATTAATTTAGAGATACAATAAGCTTTTGTTCCATCACTGAAGAAGGATTTACTCCTATTAAGACTAATGGGAATTAATCCCCTTATGTGCTGATGAGACTTAATAGCTAAAGTGTTCATAGCACAATAACAATTTTTAAAGAATAATAAAAGTTTTTGTCTTTCTATTCTGCTTCCAGAAATGCTTTAAAAGAAGAGCTTTAATCAAGAAAGGTGCCTCTAACAGTACCTGCAATACAAAATGGCTTTCTTTTACAGAAACATTAATGTATAATATATAATGTGCCTTTTGCCATATGCTTCATTGACAATCACATCTGTTGTGTTTGAGTAGATGGTCAATCGTGTATGGCAGGGAAACTCTCCTAAAATATTTGTATCTCTACATCAAAATATTTATCTCTGGTTTTGCTCTGGCTTTCTGCTTTGATTTTGCTTCTGTTGCTATTTTCTTTTAATATATTATGTTTATGGGGTTTTCCCCCAATTTCATCTTTGTCTACTATTATTTGGCCCTTCCTTATTTGAAAAAATCAAGATTGTTGTACCTGATGGTATTCTGCCAGCCTATGGCCTACTTTTACTACTGGAAATCTTCCATTTTAAAACATACAAAAAGAAATTATGATTTTTCTGGGCTTCTAAGCAACAGGCATTTTAAAGCCATCTGATAAGATTACACAAGAGGAGGAAGATTGAGGGGGGACAAAAGAAATCATAACAAAGAAAGAAAAAGACCTGCTTTTAGAGAAACATTCAACTTTGGTTTAATTTTTCCTCCTTAAAATGAAAAAAGACTGGGACACAAGATTAGATAATGCCTGCCTGAGATCAATGCTGGCAAGCAAGCTGAAACAAGTGTATTATAAAAAAGGCTAGAAAGAAAAACATAACAGAGGAAAAAGATTAATTTCGGAAGTAATTTCATCTAAAATGATCAATGTAAAAATTTTATAAGAAACATGGATTTTCTTATCACCTAACAAGTATCTGTCTACTTTGTATAGCAGGGGCACTATGTATACAGGGTGAACCAAAAATATCAGAAAGAATCAACTTTGGTGTCCTCAAACCTACACTCTTCCAGCAATCAATTTTAGAGACTCCCAACTGACAAACACTAAAATAAATAAATAAATAAATAAATAAATAAAAGGCATTTGAGTTAGTTTCAAAGGAGGGTGAGAAAGGCAAGCATTAAAAAGGTTTTTTTTAGTCTAAGCTAGCCTGATCACTGAAATCAGATTAGCGCCCGTCTGTTACTTGGTTTTGAACATTCTGTTCTATTTGCAACAGCCGTGACAGCAAAGAGTACTGTATGTCATGCAAAAACCCAATTAGGCCTGACTAAATGGAAACCATTAAATGCTCTCGGCTGTCTAAAGAAAGAGAATTGTTTTGGAATAAGCTTTGCACTGGATTCTGATTACTGAGTTCAAATCACACAAGCTCAGTAAGTTCAGTCAGCTTAGTGCTATGTTATGTTCTACCGTCAGCTGATTGCATTCCACTTAGCTTTTCAATGTTTTCCAAATTTCAGTAGTTACTAATTTAGTAATGCTTCTGTGGAGGGAAGAGAAATTCAAGATACTGAAGATTATCACCAGCAGCATACTGATTGTGCCCGTTTCCTCCTTTCAATTCTTTCTTACAGAAGAGCAAGATGGCTTTTTCAAGTAAGTTAGTACCTTCTGACAACAGCAACTTACCAAGCTATAACATTCTGTATTTATTTTACCTTTTCCACTTTTTAAAAGACATGCTACAAGTATGTCCTCATTTTACAGAAGGAAGATGATTACGTATAAGTTGGGGAACACAAACATCTTTTTCATAGAATGTGTGATCCTTGATTTGAGCTCATTTGCTTAGAGACACAGGCATGATGCATTGCCAAAGAAACTGATTTGATTGAGACATGTAGCAGAAATACTAGTATGATTCTTCAGGTCTGATCACTTATTTCAAACACTTCCATAAGAAATCATAATTCTGCTGAAGTAAGCTGCTATCACAATGACAATGATATGACAATGAACAAGCTAGTAAAGGAAAGAAAGCATGTTAATAATTGGAAAGTTGAACTCATTACAGGCAAAGTTTCTAAAGAAGAGCACTGGATTTGTATTGCAGGGAGTTAAGTTATTCATGATTAGCACTGCTGTAAGTCCAGTGAGTGACCTTTAGCAAATCACTTCCCTGCTGTTTGCCTGGATTTAATTTCTGTATGAAAGAGACATCATACAGAATTGTTTGCAAAGAATGGAAATATCAACTACTGAAGAATTACTACATGTAATTTATAAATTAGTCAACCTTTTTATAGGGGAAACAGGTTTCTATATCTTTTACTTGAATGGACAAGAGAAAAATGAACAATTAAAAAATTGCTGCAGACAGTAATTTGACAAAGCACGTAAACACTTCAGAGTAGTACGACACAATAAGATACCTTTCTGTGAAAGTTGAAAGATTTTTTGGAAAGTATCCATGGCACTTACAATGAAGGCAATCTTTAATTCATCAAATTTCATGCCATGTCAATATTACCTGCCATGCCATCAGCCATGCCAGCTATATGAAACATGCATGATTTCAGTCTGTGTTTGTACTAGGAGTTAATAAGGTAAGGTTATGTTGCTGAAAGTAATTGTGACAGAGAAGTGGAGTACACACACATACCTTGACTTGCCTGACTCTTTGCTTTGACTCTTCCAGCTGCTGCTGCAAAGAAGTCACTATGTCTTTATATCTCATATACCTCTCCTCAATCATCTCCTTTCGGCAATGTGACTCCTAGAAATGCATTAAAAAATTTAGATGATTTCATAACGTGAAAAGTAGCTAGAAATTCTGACTACTGTGAATGCAGGTATCATTTTCAACAAGAAAACATAATGTTTCTCACTGAACTAGCTAATGATTCCCTTGAGTTAACAAACCTCCTAGACAACCTGAGAGGTTTATCAAAACTTACTTCCTCTTGCCTTCTCCCTTCCTATGAAAACATTGAAGGAAGAACTTGCTAGCTATTGTACAAAAAACTCCAATATGCTATTTGCAAATAGAAACAGTAAAGAAGCTCCAAACTGACATCTTTCTCAAAGCTAAGGCATAAAGCTTACCTCTCTTAAATAATAAATTATTTCTTAAACAAAACACTATGTTGATAGGGGCTCATCTTCAGAAAACTATCTTTAAAAAATTAAGCATGATGGAGAAGGACAAAGCCCGACTGAAACCAAAGATTTTGCATTCCAATCTCACAAATACTGGCTAATTTATAACTAGAGCAAACCAGAAAATTACAGTGTAATTTCATAGCAGTGTTAAGTGAGAGAGGGCAAGTGTGAAGGAGATTGCAGATGTCTGCTAAGAAAAAAATTTTTTTTTAGTAGAAACAGAAGGTAAACATAAACCTCTGTCAGAGAAAAAATAAAAAGCTCTTCTGGGGATATCTGGAATGTGAAATTAAAACTACACATCTCAACAATATTGTTCATAAAAAACCCAAACATTTTAACCAGTACTTGCATTACCAAATCTGCTGATGATGACAGCAATAAAATGGTGTAGAATTATTAACTGATGACCTTGTGCAGGAACACAAAATAAACAATGCTCCAAACAAGTATGTTTTGAAATGTTTATGACAACCACAGATTAAGAAGTTTTACTTATCAAATAAAATGCAAATCATTATGTTTTTGTTGATCTGTGGTTTAATAGTGATTTAAAATTTATATTGTGCAAGGAAGTTAGAAATTCTTTTCTATTAAACCACCCATTTCATAAATGGAAATTAATTATGGTACAGCTGTTTAGCCACTTAGCCACTGAAAATCTAATCTGAGCCTTATCACTCTTGACAGTATGTCACCACTACTGTCAATATGTCCTACTGTGTCCAAACACACCTTGATTGGATAGTGGAGCTGCAAAAATAAGTAGCAAGTATTGTCATTATGTCAAAACAAAACGTTGTAAAGATCATCTATCTTCACTCATTAAGTTAAATATTGAAACAACTGGCATAATTAATTTAAATATAAAATTTTCATTTTTAACATGTAATATCAAAATTTACCACTCCATAAAAATATTCTGAAACAGTAATTAACACATGACCTGTTATGCCCAGTTATTCAATGTTTGCCTACATTATGGAGCAGTGTTAATAATTAGAACTAAATTTATAACTTCACAAAGATCCATATAAACATGAAAATAAATTTCAGTATGTTTCTGTCTATATAATACATACATCTGCAACTGTAAATATCTTATTAATAATTTATCTGTACATTCATAGAAACTATTAGTTAACCAAAATATTTTAGAAGTACTGAGAGAGTCAAATTAAATCTTTCTCACTCCAGTATCTCTGCAATCTTCTAACAGGCTCAGTTTCTCAGGCACAGACTCCAGGTGGTTTAAAGCTACTCGGGTACTCTAAAGAACAGAACACAAGTTAAAACATTAAAACCAAAACCCTTCTTTCAGCCATCTCACATACTACAAACACCAGTATTACCAGTGTACTAGTTCAAGCTTCCTCAGTTAGGGTGTTGCCTTGCCCTAAACCTCCATCACAAGTAGCTGTGGGACTCACTGAAGCAGCCATGTCAGAGGCTCCAGCCAGACCTGCTGGTGGGAGATGGAGCTCTCCAGATCAGAGGCTGCCACGTGTGCCTGGTGCCTGTTCATGAGGCTGGGGCTGACCATTCTTTCACAGAAGGTGAGCTGTGCTTTAGGAGCTGGCCACCAGATACAGAAGGAATGGAACAGGCTACATTGTATTGAGCAAACAAACAAAAGACTGATTATTTTCAGAGTCTCACAGTCTCAAGACTCTCAGGAGTCATGAACCTCCATTATAGTGGAGAAGCAGATGGACTCAGTACCCTGCAGGGTAATTAGTCAAAGGACTGTTAGCCAAGGGTCTGTTCAAAGATGCAGGCTGTAAGCAGGTCACAGCATGTACTAGGAGGAAGGTTCCTCCACCTCCTCAGAATTCAACAGGTAGGACTGGCACCCTCTACAATACATGTGAGGCTCTGGAACCAGAAGGCTAGACTACTGATGAGGTGGGTGAAGGTATTTCTGGGATAGTGTGGCCTCCTAAAACAACACCACCTGTACTCTGCACCAGGACCTCTGTTAAAAGGAAAATGAAGGGTAGTTGTAACAGGAAACACCTTTCTAAAGCGAATGGAGGGCCTCCTTACGCAGACTGGACCCAGCTGTCTCCAGGGACTAGAATAAGAGACATTACTGATATGGGAAGAATACAGAGTCACTGTACAACTTGTCACTGTAGGGAGAAAATTCATGGGGCCAAAGCTCTACTGGAGTTGAAGCTGGCCAGAAATGTGGAGGACAATAAAAAGAGTTTTTAAAAATATCTCCATGGCAATAGGCAGTGCAAACAAACCCTTATCCCTTTACAGGATGAGGATGGTCAAACAGGGACAGAGACAAGGCAATGGCATTTCATGCATTATTTACCTCTGTCTTCAACATGGATGATTGACCAAGGGATCACAGTGCCGTGAGCAGAAGGGCCGTGACTGTGAGAATGACCAACTCCCAGTCGACCCTGAACTTGTGTGGGATTTGCTGCTTCAGTTGGATCCCTACAAGTCTATGGAGCAAGAAGGGATTCATTCAAGACTTCTCAAAGAGCCAGGTGATGTCATCACAAAACCTCTCTTGATATTTTTTGAGTGGTCTTGGGAATTCGGAGTGGTTCCAGCTTACTGGAAACCGGTGAACCTTGTCACAATTTTAAAGAAGGGCAAGAAAGAGGACCCCAGGAATTACAGGACTGTCAGTTTCACTTTAGTGCCTGGTAAAGGGTAAAGGGATGGAAAAGATTATGCTAAGAGGTATTGAAAAACCCCTGAAAGACAACACCGCCATTGAACACAGCCGTCTTGATTTTGTGACAGTAAAAGTCCTCTTATTATCAAACCTGATTTTCTTTTATGACCTACTTGAGTCCTGTGTGCAGTTTTGGTCACCACACCATAAGAAATTACTGTTTCTAACAGAAAAACTGTTAGAGAGCATCTTAAGGAGGACAATGAAGATGGTGAAGGGTCTTGAGGGGAAGCCATGGGAGGAGCGACTGAGGTCATTTGGTCTGCTTAGCCTGGAGGAGACTGAGGGGAGACCTCATTGCAGTTACAACTTCCTCATGAGAGTAAGAGTAGGTGCAGGCACTGATCTTTTCTCTCTGGTGGAGACAATGACAGGACCTGAGGAAATGGCCTGAAGTTGTGTCCGGGAAGGTTTAAGTTGGATATTAGAAGAAGGTTCTCCACCCAGAGAGTGGTTGGGCACTGTATCAGGCTCCCCAGGGAAAGTGGTCACAGCACCAAGCCTGCCAGAATTCAAGAAGAGTTAGGACAATGCTCTTGGGCATGTGGGGTGACTCTTGGCGATAGTGCTGTGCAGGGACAGGAGAGGAGTTCCTTCAAACTCAGTATAATTCTGTGAGTCGATAATTTTTTTTTTAAATAGAAGTATATATAGTGAGCACTTAGCTAAACATAGAACAATCAAATCTCCTATTTTCAGATTAGGCATATGGTATGTACTACTGAAAAATGAATTACCACTCTGGGAAGAGTTAGGATTGGCCTCAACAATAAGATTTCACATTCACACCCATCACACAAAAAATGCAGTCTATTGGAAACTGCAAAGAACTGAAGAAAATAAATATGGTTTTGGTTTTGTGTGCAGAAGAAGTTGGTTGATCATGGACAAAGAACAGTCATGTCCCACAGGTCAGATGCCTCTGCAGCTTCTCAAAGGCTGCCCATCTATTATTTGTCAAAGAGCAAGTAAAACCAGAACTGTTTGTATTTTCTGAACAACAGTTAGCATTTCCTTCACAATTCTCAAAATCACACTTCTTTGGATAAGGTTCTGCTAGTCTGGTATTCAATCTACCAGTAATGGGCTTCATTAACCATATTATTGTCTTGGTAATTTAAAGCCAAATCTTAAAACAAATAAAATCCATAAATCCTGAAATCAAATATTATGTTGCAAAGCCTGTGCAAACCAAGTTAACTTGCTCTTAACTACAAAAGCTCTGTTATTAGTTCTGGAAAATCTCAATCTGACCACCATGAAAAACATTCCATTGAGATCCCAGAGAGTAAAAGTTTCAGTCACAACAGGAGAAGAAAAATCAATGGGAGCTTCTCTGCACAAGGGGCATCAACTTCAAAAAGATGGAGACTAGGAGTGAGGAATGTAGAATCAGAAACGAACAAGATGAAGACACGCCATCTGTTTAAAAGCAGATGTCTGCCTTGTTGTTAGTTCCAAACATTCTGGTTTTAAGGTTTTAAGAAATATTCATAACAAACAAAGGTCAAATTTTATAAACAATGGGATTCATTTGCAGCTAACTTGGACTGAACTTGTAGTCAATATTCAGAACCAATAAACTAAATTAAATAGAGGATATGAGATTCATTCTTCTGTTTCTGCAATTATATGTATGCAAAGATATTATGTATACAGATATCTATCTGTTTACCCACCTTGTTTTAATACAGATGACCTGTGATCTGTTCTCACAAAAAAAGAACTCAGGCCCTAGGTATAAGCCTATGCCTTAAGCCATTCATTTTTCAATTCCTTCTCTAATTTCAATGCCAAGACCTCATGTCAACACTCTCTGTAAATGGATTTAAGGAAGATGTTAATCATCTGTTCTTCCAAAGTGTCTCCTAAATATATCCCCTCTATTTCATGCACTTTTTGTAGTGGGAAAAAAAAAATAGCTATTTCTCTGCTAATCCTTATTAGTTAGATTATTAAATATAATCCTGAAAGCAGAAGACCGGCCTTTGGGTTAGATGCACATTCAGTCTCTGGTTTTTTGGTTTTGTTGAGAATAATGTGGATAAAGAATGGTACAGGCTACTTGGATTTCTGAAAGGTGTTTTAGGCTTCTAAAGTTTAAATCTAACTTCACATTCAAACTGATGAGCTCTAAGGTAACCATTGCTGCCCAGGAAGCAGATCATGGGGCAGTGATGCATATTACCAAGAATCTGCTATTGCAGTGCTCAGTATCAATCAGAAAACCAAAATCAACACTCAATATAATCAGGAAAGGAAAAAAAAAAAAAAGCCAGAGAACATAACTGTCCCAAATCATTAATCCAATTGCATCTTCACTGCTGAGTGCAGACGTGGATTTTTATTTCAAAAGGGAAATAGGGAAAGGTTAGAGAAGTTGAACGAGAATTTTCAAAGCCAAGGTATGCTGTTTCCAAGTGAGAAATGATAAACACAATACTCTAAAGAATAGGACTCTGCAGCCAGTAAGAGAGATGCCTGAGAAGACTAATTACCAATTTGTATAAAATCAGAAGTCACATAAAGATAGAAAATTTTATATGGCTTTAAGCAGAAAACTGGGCAAGTTCATGAATGAGGAAGACCACAGAATGGTTCCAAATTCACAGAAACTACGTCTAAGTCTGAAAGCCTTTGAGCTTTGAATGGCTGGAATCAGAATGAATGAATGAGAAACAAAATACCTGTCAGTCCTGTTCATACAGTCTTCCCTAAGCATTTTACTTTGACCATCGTTGCAATGTCAATAGATTGACCTTTGGTCTTGACCAGAATGGTTCTTTTTATATTGTAAAATTCTCACAGTCTTCTGAGCAGTCTGAGGGACTTGAATAGGATAACTCACACACTAACATTTTCAGGGACAGAAATGTGTATCTTTTCCATAAAACAAATGAAAAGAATGGTAGGGATGTGCAAATAAAAACAGAAAAAAAAAAAAAAGCAAATTTTGTTGTTAGGGGAGGTTCAGTAAGGAAGATGAAAATGAAGAAATACATTGAACAATGTGAGGGAAAGATGATGAAAGAGCTTTTAGCTGGTCCATAGAAGTAGTCGTAATTAATGAAAATCACAGCAACATCCTCAAGATGGTTCAAATACGATACTTGTATCATTAATGACTACACTCTATTCTATTAAAAAGATGATCTAGCCACACAGATAAAATGTAGAAAAGGATGTTAGAAGCACCTGATATAGAGGCCAATTAAGTACTGTTTAATTTTTTCCCAGAAATCAGAAAGCTGTATGCCATAATGCATAAAAATAAACCTAAAGACAGCAATCACATCTGTCTGCTTATGTATAACAAGCAACAGCAGGTACTGACCCAGTGCACTGATGGTACTGATAAGAGGACAAAACATCCATTGTACTGTCTGAGGCAGTATTAATGGCATTTTACTTAACAGCAGTGCTCTTCGATAGACTGAATGCTTCTAATCTTTCTGTTTTTATAATAAAGACTATTTACTTTTAAAAGGGGTGTTCTATGTTTTAACAGAGAATGACAAAACAAATTGCTTATTTTCCATTACTTCATACAAACGCTTTGATGTTTAAAC